TTATGTTTTCCTATCTGTAGTTTTTCCAGTTCCTGATTCAAAGTAGGTTAAATCTTTTTTCACAGGCTATAAAAAATAGTAATTGTCTTAAATGAAAATGTAAAATCATCTATTAGGTTTCATGCTTTGGAGCAGAAAAAGTGTATAAAACCACAACATTTCAGGCTCGGTTTGCTCCACTCTGATTCACTGTGATGCTTGCTCACCTGTTCCAGCCAGATCCCTGCATGTGTGGGGTTGGGCTCAGAGCTGAGGAAGGTGTTCATCAGTGAGTCTTCTGTGTTGTTTTGGTTATCTTCATCCCAGACAACAGTTGCTCACATAGGTTTGTGCTGCTGAACATGGAGAGCATTTGAGCAGCTTAACCACACTTTCCTTTGTTTATTGCCATATATGCAATAAACAAAGGAAAACAACAAACAACAACAGAAAGAAAAGAACAACCTAAGCAAAGAACCAGAAACCCAAAAAGACAAGAACCAAAACCAGTGATAACCCTACCATACATCAAAGACATAACAGAAAAAAATAAGAGCAGCAATGAAAAAATACAACATAAACACACCAACACAACCATACACAACAGTTAGAAACAGACTAGTGCACCCAAAAGACAAGATACCAGCTGGACTTAAATGTGGAGTCGTTTACGAAATCCCATGCAAACTTTGCAATAAAACATACATAGGAGAAACCGGACGCCAACTCAACACACGAACAATAGAACATAGAAAGGAGTGCGAGAAAGAGGCAAGTGGAAAACACACAAGAGCAGCAAAACAAGAAGCAGAAAGTACAATAAAGAAGTCAGCCGTAACAGATCACTGCATAAGAGAAAACCATATAATGGACTGGGACAACACAAGGACCATAAACACTGAACAACAGAAATACAAAAGATGGATAAAAGAAGCTATCGAGATAAGGAGACGTGGATGTGGGACCATGAACAGAGACGATGGAGTTTACTCGTTGGATCGCGCATGGGACTGCATCATTGGAGAGTGGAGAGCGGGCAGCAGAGGGCGACAACGTCCTCTGCTGCCCGCGGATAAACGTAGTAGGAAGTGACGCCACCATCAGCGTCAGCTCTGAGGAAGTTCGCAGCCGCGAACGAAACCATCAGCAAGGTAAAGAGAAACCTCTCCTGTGTGGTTTATGCTTCTCCGTCAGCTCTGCAAGGGACAGACACACACGGATTGACGGAAGTGTTTTGCTTTCATACTTCTCCGTCTCCTGGAGAGTGTTGCAAAGCAATTGCCCGGCAGGACCACAGAGGGCGTAGCGCTGTTCTGTGGTATCCTGTCATGTATCGGTCCAAGATCGTGTGTTTATATTGTGTTTTTTGTGTATATAAGAGACTTTTAACACGGACATATTTGTCTCTCATTCTCCCACCGCTTCATGCGCTCCCCACCTCTAAACCCACGTTTCCTGTCATTTACGTCCACAAATAAAACGCTTGCTGTGCATCTTTTCACTCCTCCAGTCACGGGAGAATTAAACGTTCATATTTTTAGAGTTTTTTCGCGAGGCATTCTTCAAGCTTCTCCGTGTCTGCCGCTAGTTATCCTCGGCTCTCTTTGCAATGGCGGCGCTGTAAACAACAGCGGCGTCCTGACCAATCACAAGCTTGCGTAATCCGTTTCGTTCGACGGATGTTTAAAAAAGTGGGCTCGACTCCGTACGTACTTGCGTGCCCTACGCAAGGACGGATAATGGCGTTGCGTGTCTCCGCACTGACGCAGACGGAGAAGCATAAATCAGGCCTTAAAAAAGAACCAAAAATGCAGTTAGAAAAGCAACACAGTAAGAACATACCAAAGAGGATGTTCATCTTCTTGCTGTCTACACAAGAACAACCTGATGTCATCATCTTGTGCAAAAATTCAGTTCAGTGTATTTTAATATCACAACTAAACTAAAACATTTGAAAGTACGAAGTCTTGTACGAGGGTTGCAGACAGTCGCCTGCCACATTTCTCATGTTCTGCACTTACCCAAAACTACATGGTGGTCTATCTTTGATGCACTTTCCAAATCATGTGGGATGCTCCCATTTCCCCTGAAACAATGGATGCCTCTTTCGATGGATGCCAACTGAACATCATAGCTTTTTGATCTTTGTTGGTCAAAAGACTCACATTGTTCAAATGGAAAGACTCATCCACCAAGACTCTGACACTAGTTCAGGAGAGACTACGAGTCCTATTCACCTGGAAACTTTGGTGTCAAGTTGTTGTTATTGTTGTTAGCCTCAAGGGCAACATGCCGGTTATCACTTGGACAAAAGTGTCTGCTAAATACATAAACATAAACATAAACATAAACGATCAGACACAGTCTGAGGGGCTGATCGATCAGTGTAATATTGTGTGGTTGCAGTTTGTGTCTAAGTTTGGTCGTATAAATTTGTGTGAATGTTTTATATTCATTTCTTTTGTAGATTCTTTTTAGTATTTTGAATTGGAGTTATAATAAACCTGTTTTATTTGTTTCTTTGAGTTGGACCCAGTTTAATGGGATGGGTTTTTTGTTTAGTGTGTTTTCTACTTAAAAATGTTATAAAAATGTAATAAAAAGTACAACGTCTACCTATCATATCTACATGTTTACAGAAACAGTACCGTGGAGGATGTTTGACCATGTTTCTCTAGAAAATTAATTTTTTGAATAAATAGTTTAACAATTTAGGACTTCTTTAGATGATTGCTAAATATTTAATGGGGAAAATATTCTTGACCTAATATCTATTTATTTTTCTTGATGTGGAAAAGTAAATGGGATGAAAACTAACTCGAACTCTTTTACAACCACACCTTTCTGTTGCTCCATCTGCTCTGAGGTGCTTCATGAATTAGATCAGGGGTGTCAAACTCATTTTAGCTCAGGGGCCACATTGAGGGAAATCTAGTCCCAAGTGGGCCGGACCGGTAAATTAAAAACATCTTCAGATTGTTTTCTTTGTTTTAATACAATCAATATAAAACAAGGCTGGAGCCTGAGGACAGTGTAGTACAAGTACGACACCTGAAGTGTACTTGAAAATTTAAGTAAATAAATAAAAAAACATTCCTTAAGTGATTCAAAGAGCTTACAGATCACATGGCTAGATCAGTTTCATGCAGCACTTAAAGTATATTTGACTCATTTTACTTTACATCTTTTAGCTTTCACCGGCACATCAGTATCAGAAGTCCCATCCTGAGTGGTGGCCAACTTCAGGATGTGATTCAAGTTCTTGTGTGAGCCTTGAGTGCAGCTATGTTTTATTTATACTCATTACAGAGAAAACTTGCTCACAAAGATACGTTTATTTTCACTCTACATTGTAAAGTATGAAAATAAAGTTTACACAACCATCCCGGGGGCCGGATTTAACCCGCTTGCGGGCCGGATGCGGCCCGCGGGCCGTATGTTAGACACCCCTGAATTAAATAGACGTCCTATTTCAAATTACTCATACACACACACACACACACACACACACACACACACACACACACACACACACACACACACACACACACACACACACACACACACACAGGAAACACCTGTCCTGTGTGAGTTCAGTACCACAGAAACTGAGTGATGCATTAACACAACGCAGCTTCTAGTCAGTAACATTTCTGATTCTCCTCAGAGACTAAAATGATTTATTTACTCTAACCTGAAGCACACACTGCTTTATTTTTATTACTACTGGGATGGTTCATCTGAAATCATATAAATTGGTGAAGTGGAACAAAATCTAGATTTTTATTGAATTTCCTCCTCAGTATGTCCTGAAATTTATGCAGAACTTTAATGATTCGGTCTTTAAATCAGGCGTCTTGGAACAGGAAAGTATCTATAGCAGGGCTATTCAATTCTGGTATCCGGTATCCAGCATGTTTTAGTGGTTTCTCTGCTCCAACACACTTGATTCAGTTGTTGAATCACCTGGGCTGCAGCTCATCAGGCTCTTCAGAAGTCTGTTAATCACCTGCTGATTGAAATCTGGTGTTAAAACAAGTTTAAAACCAAAACGTGCTGAATACCGGCCCCCGAGGCCCGGAATTGAATAGCCCTGATCTACAGCTTGCAAGAATGTCGCCTCTGAAGACCAGGAATTGGTCTGTGGTATGAGACCTCCAGTCACTGGGTCAAAGACTGGTACCAGTCTGTGGATTGCTTGGTAATAGCAATAGTAATTGCTTTCTTTAGAGCAATCCTATGATGACATTTTGATCTGCCTGGAATTTAATTTGAAAAGTATTTGTAAATAATATATATAAAAAGAGAAGAAGTGAGACAAAAAGTTCACACTCATATTATTACAATATTTGTGTAATAAATACATTTCAAATCATGCAAATTACTGCAAATTGTGCTAAACAGATCTAAAAACAGAGCATCGCTCCTCTGCAAATCAATTAAATCATAAAATCTTAGTTTAAGGAGAAACATGAACAATTAGTCCTGTTTTAACAAATCCCAAAGTTTATTCTGAACAACATCCACTGGCAGTAAAAAGTACAGACATGCAGCAGTGGAAGCAGGTGTGTGACCATAAAGGGCTAAAGCAAAGTTTACCAAAGGATGTAAGCAGGTTGTGAAATGCACAGAACTGTGCTCTTTTCTGCCGTCTTCGCTTGTCTCACTGCTCACGTTCTTCTGATGTACGATGAGTTCAGCAGTTTCCCCCTGCAGCTACTTTAGACAAATGGAGGCTTTCTCTTTGTGTTCACTACATTTTACTGGTTGTCACTTTTTTGCTGTTTACTTAGAACTTCCACCTGCTGCCAGAAGGAGAATGACAGGAGACAAAGTCCTTGCTTTCATGTATTTGTGTGTCTGATTTTTTGAAAATTATTAAATGAACCACTGGATACATTACATTATCAGACATTAAGCTAAATATTGATGTGATAGGAACTGAGAGTCCTTCACATCACGTAGTCAGAGCGCTAGGAGATCAGATCTTAGGCATGTAAGGCAGCAGCTGACAATAAGCATTTTTATTGGGGATGAAAAAAAGACAAAGCAATTCCTGACAGACAAAAATAATCAGATAAATCACATGAATAAAGATACTACGACCTTTCGAGGGTCTCAGTCTCAGAGATAGATGTAAAATCAATGGGTTGCTGCTTCCTCTTGTAGCTGTGTAGAAAGAAAGCTAAACCCGCTCTTATCGCCGATCTGATCTGCAAACAGTCTGACTCTCTTCACGTCCACGGCTCATTTTACCGACCTGATCATGGGTCGGATATGATTTTTCACAAACACGATGTGTAAATTCCTCTATGCTGGGTGACCTGACACCTGAGTGACTGCCACATGTCACTAGCTGTGTAATGCAGTAATGTGTGTGTGTTTGGGTGTGTTGTACAGGCCGTCGTGGTCGTGTACACAAGTGGAGAGAACTTTAGGCGTCACATTTCACCCGGTGTCATTGTGCAAAGTGATACAGCAGTATACCTCTGTGTGTGTGTGTGTGTGTGTGAGATATATCATCAGGTCTTGTTCCAGAGCAACGCAACACACACACACACACACACACACACACACACACACACACACACACACACACACACACACACACACACACACACACACACACACACAGGCGTGTGACTAACAGCTAGTGAAGCATTCAGGGCTCCTGACAGGATGTTGAAGACTCTTCTGTGGTGTCTCCACGCTCTGCCTCAGCTCGGCACGACACAGATCAGAATCGGGTGATGCTCAGGCTCTGGACCCGGGCCACCACAGCAACTGCTTAGTTAAATTATTGATTGCACGGTTGCTGAGGAGCAAAAAATGAGGTGGGCAGCGCTGATGGTTTGGATAATGCTTCTGGTGAGAGGTTAGTTCTGCATGATGGACAAGTTTATTATCTAAGCTGCATCATCAGGTCTTCTTCAAATGTCTGCTAGTCACTTTTATTCTGGTTGCTTCTTTGTTTCTTGATGTTTAAGATATAAGAAACGTTTGATAGTTTAATGTGTGTGTGTGTGTGTGTGTGTGTGTGTGTGTGTGTGTGTGTGTGTGTGTGTGTGTGTGTGTGTGTGTGTGCCCCACCGTTTCCCTCCTGTCCCCACAGTGTCCCAGTGTGCTCAGGGTCTGTACGCTCACAAGCTTCTGAATGACCTGATGGAGAACTACTCCAATGCTCTGAGACCTGTGGAGGACACAGACAAGTCCTTGAACGTCTCCCTGCAGATCACGCTGTCGCAGATCAAAGACATGGTTAGTAGAGACAAAACCTCAGACCTGAGAGCCAAAACAAAACCACGTATAGGCTTAAGGAGCTGTGCACACACACACACACACACACACACACACACACACACACACACACACACCCACACACACACACACACACACACACACACACACACACACACACACACACACACACACTGTGTGTGTGTGACTTAATTTCGCACAAACTTTTTGTGTTTAAAACTGGATCTTTATTTTCTTTACATTTTAAAAAAAGAAAATATTTGGCCCCATGCAGGTCTGTGATCCTAATGTTTGTGAGTCCTGAAACCTAATGAGTCGTCTCAATTTAAAACCAGTTCAATAAAAGAACTGCACATCTTTACCAGAATTATCATGGAAAATATGATCTCTTGCCACAAGAACAGAAACTTGTTAACCTGGTGTAAATGACAGAGTAAAAGTGTAAGTTGCTTTGGATAAAAGCATCTGCTAAAAGAATAAACATAAACTTAAATGTGTCAGCCGAACAGTCACCATCTAAGAAGGCATCAACATATTTAGCTTTCAGAGTCCTTTTCCCTGTTAAGTAGATGTGGGAAAAATGATCGATTCTAAGATGCATCGCGATTCAGCCGTGCATGATTCCGCATCGATGCAGCAACGTGACATAATGAGATTCTCTCCCTATTCGGGGGTCGGCAATCCGCGGCTCTGGAGCCGCATGCGGCTCTTCCATCCATCTGATGCGGCTCTCTGTGCTTGTAAAATAATGAATGGATATTTAAATAAAATGCTTTATATTTTACTGCATTAATTTTACATCTGTAAGCTAATTCTATGTAAAGATTGTCTGCGTAAACCTGAACAGGTCCAACCCGGTCTAAAGTGCGACCGGGTTGACGCGTCACACTTGTGCGTAATCATAGGCGCTTTCTGAGCTGACGAGGATGTGAGATTCTGGGATTCTCCTCAGACGGCTCCTGGATGTGTCGCCACATTGGAGACAGGAACAAGCGCTATTCAGCCAAAGTTTCATGATCAGGGAACATTTTCTAAGTGACAAGTCTCGCTTCAGTCGGAGGAATCTTCCCGCATGCGCTCTGGTTCTGCGACGTGCTCAAAGCCCCTCTCCACATCTTCAGCTCACTGTGCGCCGTACGTACATGCTGACAGTGAGCTGCGCTGAGCTCAGTGTCCAGCTCAGATGCTCAGATGGGAATCTTTTCTTAAGTGATTTAGCTACATCTGCGATGTGCGAAACGAATAAAGTGTCAGTTCGTCTGCATGCGTCGGGGTAATTCTTTCTATTCTTTCTCCGTCAAAATAAATAGTCAAAAACGGGAACTATCCGGTCAACACAACACAAGCCCTGCTTTTAACTGTTCTGTTTTCTTGTGAAAATAGTTAAATTTAACTTGATTAACACCAGAGCCAGGCGCACCGCGCCATTATCTCCGTCACTGTAAATGAGGGAAAAACAAAATGATCGGATCCTTTTCTGACCTTCCCCACCTACAAAGTTTAATTACAACAATCAAACGTGACAGAGCCTGGATTAGTATTCTGAACAGTCTAAACATGTTTTAAAAAGAAACGTATGACAAAAGTGGCACCTGCTCAGTAAAACCACCAACAGGGTGAAAAATATCAAAATATTGTAGGCAGAGACGGGCTACAACTTCTGGATCCACTTTATATAAATCGTTTTATTGATTATCGTCTTATGAAAGATAACTTTGACGTACACGAGCGACCGGTACCGGCTGCTGTCTGAGGGTAGGCCCCGCCCACAACGCCGCGGCTGCTGCGGTGTTTTCTTTACTGTGGGAAACGGGTAATAATGGCTCTTTGATGGGAACAGGTTGCCGACCCCTGGTCTATGTCTATGCGAGGACAATAAAATTTTGAGGTATTACTTCTGGGGGCAGAGTTGCAATGGCATGCGCACTGCGTTGTCCTAGAAGCAATTGGACAGGGATACAGGGCCAACATTACCAGTAATCAAAGATGTACCCGTTATATTTAAATCGGATGTCTGGGCTAATTTCTGTTTTGGGATCCTGGATGTGAAAGAATCACTTAACACAGTATTGGTTTACTATTTTTAAGTTCAGTAATATTCTATCTTAAAGCTGTTCTACCGAAAACATTATTTCTTATATTATTTAAGTCATTATAGGCAGCACACTTTAAACATTATTGCTCACTATAGTGAATAGATGAATGTTCTGTTTTTCAGGGATTTCGAAATCAAAAAGAAATTGAAAACTATTCTACTGCTTTTACTGAGTAATGAAAATTTTTGTGTGAAGAATCGTGATGCATTTCAGACTCAAATAGAATCGTTAGGCAGATAATCGGAATCAGATCGAATCGTGAGGCAGGTAGAGATGCACACCACCACTGTTAAGTGGAATCATTTTGACCACATAAACACACAAAAAACAAAGCTTAATTTTGACCAATTAGTAGTTTATGAATTAAAAAATTACCCCATCTAAAATTAGAAAAAGGAAATATATGTGTCCCTGAACAACAACAGGAAAAAACAAAAACAAAAATGAAATAAAAAATCAAGTGAAGGCACAAGTCTCAAGAGGATAAACAAACTCTCTGTAGCAATTAGGTTTCTTTTTCTATTGAATGTGTGTGTGTGTGTGTGTATGTGTGTGTGTGTGTGTGTGTGTATGTGTGTGTATGTGTGTGTGTGTGTGTGTGTGTGTGTGTGTGTGTGTGTGTGTGTGTGTGTGTGTGTGTGTGTGTATGTGTGTGTGTGTGTGTGTGTGTGTGTGTGTGTGTGTGTGTGTGTGTGTGTGTGTGTGTGTTTAGGATGAAAGGAACCAGGTGTTAACCACCTACCTGTGGATCAGGCAGGTCTGGCACGATGCCTACCTGAAGTGGAATAAAGAGGACTACGATGACTTGGAGATGATCAACATCCCCAGTGACCTGGTTTGGAAGCCAGACATTGTCCTCTACAACAAGTCAGTGACTAGAGACAGCACAAGGCTGCAAACACACGAGACAAACATAAAGACAGGATCTCACTGGGTGTGTGGATTCTTTCTTTAGAGCAGACGAGGAGTCCTCTGGACCATCAAACACCAACGTGAAGCTGCGTTATAATGGAGAGATAGTTTGGGACTCCCCAGCCATCACAAAGAGCACGTGTGTGGTGGATGTCTCCTACTTCCCCTTTGACTGGCAGTCGTGCAATCTCACCTTCGGCTCCTGGACGTACAACGGCAACCAGGTAGACCATGTGAACTCAGACAGCTGAGGACACGTTAGAAAAGAGTACAGATTAGACATCAAACATTTTAAAGACTGCTGGCTTTCGACTTATCTTATTCTGAACACTTTTATTTAATCACATTGTTTTTCCTGTGCATGTGTGTGTGTGTGTGTGTGTGTGTGTGTCCTCCTGACAGCTGGACATCAGTCTGGCCATGGAGACCGGAGACCTGTCTGACTTTGTGGAGAACGTGGAGTGGGAGTGTCACGGCATGCCTGCGTTTAGGAATGTTATGATGTACGGATGCTGCTCGGACCCTTACACAGAGGTCACCTACACCCTGCACCTGAAGCGTCGCTCCTCCTTCTACATCTTCAACCTCCTCCTGCCCTGTTTCCTCATCTCCTTCCTGGCTCCTCTGGGGTTCTACCTGCCGGCCGACTCAGGGGAGAAGGTCTCTCTGGGGGTGACGGTGCTGCTGGCACTCACGGTGTTCCAGCTGCTGGTGGCAGAGAGCATGCCTCCTGCAGAAAGCATGCCCTACATAGGTCTGGGTTCTTCTTTGGATTCTGATTTTCATCACACAACTAACCTTTTTAAAACAGGAAACAGATAAGATGCTGACTATTAATTTACCACTAGATCAGAGTTAATGCCTATACTTATAAAAACTGTGATGCATAAAATCGGAAATGTCATAGAATTAGCATTTGCCTTCTTCAGTACTTAGATTGTCCACCAGAGGGCGAAGGACATACAGTACTTATGGATGCATTATGTCATGGTATTAAGATGTTTGTTTTATTTTGTTGTGACATATTTCTGGTATATCACCTTCTAACTTTGTAAAGGCATCTGTTACCTTTGATCTATATTTTAAATGAATGTCTGAGTGAGTAAAGGATGATCTTTTTTTAAACGCATCATCTTAATGGAGATAAACTGATTTATCTCCTCAATGTTCCAACAGATCTAAAGTTTGTGCAGATTCTATCACTGGTACAAATCCATCTTTGGAAACTGTTACAGATCTGAACATTTTTGTACCCCGAAAAGAATATTTAGAATTATTATTTGGAAAATATTTTATTCATTCTTGGCAAATGTTTTTAAAACCTTAGTCAGCTCCTATCACAAACTTCTTTTTTTTTTTTGCATTTCATCCAGAAATTCTAGGCCTCAACACTTCCTTGTTTACAACAGTGTAGTGTCCTTAAGCCCTGCAAGATTGCAGCTGTGAACAGAAACGTGTGAAACTACTTCTTAACTGTTAGTCCATCTCTCCTGGTGCAGAGAAGGAAACTAAGGGAACATGGTTTTAAATAACATGCTGTCAAATATGTTGGGTTGCTTGTTTTTTGGGTTTCTTGAACCTTTTCATGCCTTAATGTACAAACACGATGTCCAAAACAGATAATTCATAATTAATCAATCTATTTCACCTTCCTCTCCTATAGGGAAGTACTACATCGCCACCATGACCATGATCACAGCCTCCACATCCCTCACCATCTTCATCATGAACATCCATTTCTGTGGTGCTGAGGCTAAACCGGTCCCACAATGGGCCAAGGTGCTAATCATCGACTACATGTCCAAGATCTTTTTTGTCTATGAAGTGGGAGAGAACTGCACCACTCCTGAGAGTAAAAGGACCCCTTTGTACCCAGAGGAACCCATGGGAGACAAAGGATGTTACCATGACGACAGCCTCCACAATGAACTCTACCATCAGGACAGCGACCCATACAAGTACAGCAATGGTCTAGCCGGAAACCATCACAACAAACATTACAGGAACCAAGCGAATGGGAATGCCAACAGCAGGTACCATTACCACAATCAGAACAACCATGCTTCCAGGCTGGAGAGGGGTGACGTGAGGGTAGAGGCCACACAGCGCTATCACCACATCCAGAGAGACGAACTGATTTACCGGGCTCCTCCAGACCCACACAACTTCCAGCATCTAAACGGAGGACGTAAGGAGCAGAATCTCTACTCCTCAGAGAGGTTTCAGGTCCCATCCTGCCCCTGCTGCTGCCCCTGCCTCCAACATAAACAGGTGATGTCACACACCTCCCCACATTACAGCCCTCACAGCTCAAGTTAACTCTCTCCATCTGCCTTACAGGTGGTGAAGAACATCCAGTACATCACTAACTTCTTCCGTGAGCAGAGAGCTACGTGTGTCAAGGTGGCCGAGTGGAAGAAGGTGGCTAAGGTGATGGATCGCTTCTTCATGTGGATCTTCTTCTTCATGGTCTTCCTCATGAGCATCCTTATTATTGCCAAGGCGTCCTGACAGACTCTTCATCACTAGGACAAACCCTTCAGCATCTCCAGCTTTTGATTTGAATGTGAACAGAAGTCCGAACTTTCATATTTTTGTTGGTGATGTATGCATGTGAGTGAATATTTTCTTACGTTTTGTTCTGATGTTGCTGCTCAGATTCAACCATCTAGAAACCCCCATCAGGTCTTCCAGGTTAATTAAAGTCAGGCGTCCCTGCACGTGTCACAAAGCAACAGCACCGTAAGACAATCCGGTCCTCTCGCCTTGGACATGCGGGTACTCTCCATTATTGATGAGCTAACAACCAGACATCCAGTCTTATGTTTCTCACATTTGGGGCTACCAGAGGACATCCCTCCGTGTGTGTGTGTGTGCACACAGAGCAAATCAGCATAAACACACGCAAGCTTATCCATAATCAAGACAAGGTCAAAGGTCACTGACAAAAAAGATCCTCATTCGAGTCATCAATACTTGAAAATGAGAGTTGGAGTGAATGCTGTATTTGTTTTTTTTATCAAGAGTTCTCATTAAAAATGACACTTTCAACCCGTGAAGCCCACCCCCTAACACTATTAATGAAACTACGCTTTCCTTAATAAAGATTAATGAATGAATCTGTTCAACATGGTTTAACTTACATCTTTGTGGTGATTAGTGTGTGCATATGACAAAAATATTGTTTGTATAAAATTGGTGTTTAATTAAAACATTTATATTATAAAAGAATATCCCTAAAGCGGTTCCATTAGTAATTTTCACCACTTTTTTATTTATTTAATTTTTTATTAAATAAGGCTCTCCTGTTTCAGGAACTAGATGTGAGCCAGATTAGAGCTGAGCTTCAGTGGCCCAATCCCAATACTTGTGTCACGAAACGGTGGTGTGGACCCAAAATGCAGTACCCAGGATGACACGGAGGCAGGGATGAAGATTTTAGGTAAAAAGCCTTTATTTTGTAGGTGAGCCAAAAACCAAGGTAATCCAAACTGGGAGTCAAAATCCAAAAGGTCAAAAAGCAGATTATTATCTGGGGATCAAGAAACTGGTTAAACACAGAGGGACTAAACTGACAGAATCAACAAACATTAATGGACCGACACAAGACAAAGACAAGACAGGGCTTAAATAGACTGGGAGGGGCAATCAGGAAAACAGGCAGCAGGTGTGCGGAGTGAGCTGCTGGAGGGAAGGCAGGTGACAATAATAATATAAATGGGGAAACAGAACAGAGAAGGGCAGATAAACCTAAAATACAAAATTTAAACCTAGAGACTGAGGGAAGGACTCACACAAACTATCTGGAGGAGGACATAATACACACACATTAACATTCGCCCACTGAAAGAGCTCCCGAGATCCTTAAAAATGTGGTGAAGGGGGTGATCCTCCAGAGACATAACTGTCTTAAGTTCACTCTTCATCCTTTTGTCGATGATCATGTCAAATGAGTCCAAGCGTTGCCCAACCACTGAGCCTGATTTCTTGATCATTTTGTTGATCCTGTTTTTGTCCTCAGTAGTGAGGCTCCTGCCCCAACACAACACAGCATAAAACAACACACTGGACATAATCCCCTGATAAAACACATTCAAGAGCCTCCTACTTATATCAAAGGATCTTAGCTTCCTAAGAAAAAACAATCTGGACTGGGCCTTTTTAACAACAGCATCGCTGTTCCTTTTCCAGTTTAACTTATCGTCGAGGTACACCCCGAGATATTTATATGTCTCCACAGTTTCTACAGGTTGGCCTTTGATGACCACTGGAGAGAATGTTTGTTTTTTCTTTCTAAAATCAATAACTAGCTCTTGTGTTTTGCCAACATTGAGCTGTAGAAAATTTGCATCACACCATCCAACAAAGGAGTTAACTTCCTCCCTGTAAGCCAGGTCGTCACCCCGGGAGATCAGGCCCAGTAGGGCAGTGTCAACAGAGAACTTCTGTAAGTGACAAGATGGTAAACTGTGCCTCTAGTCAGCTGTGTACAATGTAAATAAAAAAGGAGATAAAACTGTCCCCTGTGGTGCACCAGAGTTCGTAAAAATCAAGTCCGAGCACTTACCCCCAACCTTCACAAACTGAGTCTGTTTAAGAGATAGTCTAAAATCCAGGCAGTGGTGGAATTGTGCAGCTTAAAATCCAATAACTTATTTCCTAAAATATGGGGCTGAATGGTATTAAAAGCACTATAAAAATCAAAGAACATAAGTCGCACTGAACTGCTGGCTTTTTCAAGGTGTTTATAAATAATGTCCAGCAGATACAGAAGGGCATCATCCACACTCACACCCTTCCTATATGCAAATTGCAAGGGGTCTTGGAAGGAAACAACTTGTTCTCTTAGGCATTTAAGGACAACTCTCTCAAAACATTTCATTAAATGTGATGTCAACGCAATAGGCCTAAGATTGGACAACGTACAGCTGACACCTGTTTTCTTAGGGATCGGCACAAGACAAGAGGTTTTCCACATTACAGGTATTTTGGCAGCAGACAAGGACAACATGAAAATGTAGTGGAAGACAGCTGCAAGCTGCTCTGCACAAACTTTAAGGGTGCGTGGATGGACACCATCAGGGCCTGCTGCCTTGTTAGGCTTAAGCTGACTAAACTGCTGCTGGACATCCTCAACACTAAAGCTAATCTCTGAGCATGCATTCTCAACCTGATCCGTGGCAAGTGCCGATTTATGGGGTTGAAAACCCCATAAACAGCCGTAGCTACTTAGCTAGCGTGGGGCTAACTAGCTCAGAACCACCCCGTAGCGGTCCTCCAGCAGAATCCGAGCAGCCGGGACCTCAGGCTGGCTGGGTGACGGTACGCAGGAAGCATAGAATCCAGCCCATGGGCCACCACTAACCCGTCCACGTTTCTAACAGATTTTCCCCGCTCAGTGACGCACCCACTGACAAGCCGACTCTGGTCATTGGCAGCTCCATAGTCAGAAACGTGGCATTAGAGACTCCAGCAACCATAGTTAAATGTTTACCTGGGGCCAGAGCGGGCAACATTAAATCTTATCTGAAACTGCTGGCTAAGGATAAGCGTGAATACAGTAAGATTGTTATTCACGCTGGCGGTAACGACACCCGGTTACAGGTGTCATTACCGCCAGGAAGTTGGCTCCCTGGTTTAATCCTCATTTACGAGCCTTAAAACAAAACTCTAGGAAATTGGAGAGAACATGGCGGTCTACGTACCATGAGGAGGCCTACCTATCCTGGAAAAATAGTCTTGTGCTTTATAAAAATAAGCTTCGACAAACTAGAACAGCTTATTTCTCAGCATTAATTGAGAATAAGCATAATCCTAAATTTCTTTTCAGTACAGTTGCTAAACTTACACAGAATCAGAGCTCTGAGCCATCTATTCCCTTAGCCCTCAGCAGCAATGACTTCATGGGATTTTTTACAAGTAAAATTAATTCTATTAGAAACAAAATCTTTAGCATCCTCCCTAATGCGATTTCTTCTTCCTCAGTAAGCGAGGCAACATCAGAGGTGACTGTAGAACCTCATCTGTGCTTGAACCGTTTTGATCCAGTTGAGTTATCAAAAATATTAGCTTCATCTAAACCTTCAACTTGCATTTTGGATCCAATCCCAACCAAATTATTTAAAGAAGCATTTCCTTTGGTTACTGCCCCCATTCTAAATATAATCAATCTATCCTTAGTAAATGGGTATGTACCACAGGATTTTAAGGTTGCTGTAATCAAACCTTCACTTAAGAAGCCTTCTCTGGATCCAGATGACCCAATGAATTATAGACCAATATCTAACCTTCCATTTTTATCCAATGTCTTGGAGAAAATAGTGGCCATCCAAGTATGTGAGCATTTAAACACTAATGCTCTGTTTGAGGAATTTCAGTCTGGTTTTAGAGAGTATCACAACACTTAAACTGCATTAGTGAGAGTTACAAATGATATTCTCATGGCCTCAGATAAGAATCTTGTGTCTGTTCTAGTCTTGATAGATCTCAGTGCTGCTTTTGACACAGTTGATCACAATGTTCTTTTAGAAAGACTTGAACATGTTGTAGGGATCAAAGGAACAGCGTTAGGCTGGTTTAAATCCTACCTGTCTGACAGATTTCATTTTGTAAATGTACATGACAAATCGTCTTCATACTACAGGGTTACTTGTGGAGTACCACAGGGTTCAGTGCTTGGACCAATTCTTTTTACTATACATATGCTCCCAATTGGTAAAATCATTAGACAGCATGGGATAAACTTCCACTGTTATGCTGACGATACTCAGTTATATTTATCCATTAACCCTGATGAACCTAATCGGTTGGGTAGATTACAGGCTTGCCTTGAGGACATAAAAAATTGGATGACTCTAAACTTTTTGCTTTTAAATCAAGACAAGACGGAAGTTCTCATCTTTGGACCAGAAATCCAGAAAAGGAAATTGCTTAGCCAATCACCTGACTTAAATGGCATTACATTAATCTCCGAGAACAAATTAAGGAACCTTGGTGTTCTCCGAGAACAAAGTAAGGAACCTTGGTGTTATCTTTGACCAGGACATACCATTCAAATCCCAGGTTTCACAAGTTTGTAGGATTTCCTTTTTCCAACTTCGGAATATTGCTAAGATTAGAAGCATCCTTTCCAGGAGTGATGCTGAAAAACTAGTTCATGCATTTATTACATCAAGACTGGATTACTGTAATTCATTACTCTCAGGAAGTCCAGAGAATGTAGTTAAAAGTCTTCAGCTTGTCCAAAATGCTGCAGCTAGAGTTCTGATGAGAATTAAAAAGAGAGATCATATCTCTCCTGTCTTAGCTTCCCTACATTGGCTACCTGTTAAATTCAGAATAGATTTTAAGATCCTTCTTCTCACATATAAAGCTCTTAATAATCAAGCTCCATCATACATTAGTGATCTGATTGTTCCACACGTTCCTAACCGAGCACTTCACTCTCAGACTGCAGGTCTACTGGTGGTTCCCAGAATATCTAAAATTAGGATGGGAGGCAGATCTTTTAGTTATCAGGCTCCTTTCCTGTGGAACCAGCTCCCAGCTTTTAGTCCGTGAGGCAGACACCTTGTCTACTTTTAAGACTAGGCTTAAAACATTTTTTTTGATAGGGCCTATGGTTATAATCTGATGTTAGCCTAAATCTGGACAAGTGGGGGAGTACAGGGAGGTGGAGTGTACAGTCGGTAAAGACGGCTCTCCCTTGCCCTGACTCCAACATGCCTACATCTAAATAGGATAGATTATCCTGAGTTATCTCTGTAGTTATGCTGCTATAGGCTTAGACTGCTGGAGGATACACTGACCACTTTTCCCACTCTACTACTTTCTTCTACAATCTGCTCTTTACCTGTATTATTTTCTGCTATTTCAGCTGTTAACTTTATTTTCTCTCTAAGTGTTTTTCTCCCCAGAAGCTACAATGATGTTCTGCTGAGCTGTGGTGGCCTCATGGAGGGGGCCATCGTCTAGCACACTGCTGCTAACCACTTAAACATTCTCCCTCTCCTGATAATAACTTTTTGCTTTCCTTGACGTTGGATGTGCTACTACTAGTTTATCCGTTTAATTATAGATCCACTAGGATAAATACAATAAAGTTTATCTTTCACCAAATAGAATATTTACTAAGAAATCACAATATAACTATAGACACATTACTTTGTCTTGTGTGTGTGTGTGGTTTCTTCCTGTTAAAAGGGAGTTTTCCTCTCCACTGTCGCTTTATGCATGCTTAGTATGAGGATTGCTGT